ATCATTTTTTTATGCTCTGAATCACTTCGTAGATCACTAGTTTTTCGATCATTAAAACTCTTAAGAACTAGTATCGATGAAGTTCAAGCGGAAAGTTAATTGTCTGAATTATTCCGAAAAAAATTAAGGAATTATGCTTTTAACATAATCAAAATGAAAGAAAATCAACTCGAATTAACGAGTAAGCCTGTCGGTGGTACTCGTCGACCATAGGCAGTTGTTAAACAATATTGAATTAGGTCCCACATACCCAAACTGGAACAATTACCTGTTGATTCTTTACTTAATTCTCTCCTAAATTTCGTTGCTGACACTGCAAAGATCGGAACCTCTTTTAACAAAATTTGATTGATTTCCCATAATTTTTTCCTTGCTGCTTCCTTTAATTCATTCTGAACCTCTTTGACGACATCCTCTAACGGTTTTTCAGGATTATCTTCAAATTCCTTACTAACTTCTTGATCAACTTTTGTTAGAACTAAAACAATTGGCGTTCCATATTCACAAGCTTCCTGAACAATGTTGAAATCCAGTTCTGTAAAACGAGCTGTTGTCAATAGTAAAATGCAGTCAAATGCATAGAGTACTTTATCATTGTAATATGTAGAACTTGGATGACGAGAGGTGCCACCTCCAGGTAAATCCCAGAGTGCAATGTACGGGCTTGCATTATTCGGCCAAATATAACGTTTCATTTGTAACTTCTAGTGGACCACGGCCTACTGGTGCTGCTGCATCTGCCCGATACTTGAAGTCTGGAGAGGGCATGATATCTTTGAGATTTCGCATACAGTTAATGAAAGTCGATTTGCCTAGAAAGAGAAACGAATTTTCAAACTTGAAGAGTTAGAAGGGTCGTCCTGCATCAGATTTCAAAGTAGTTCCGTTAGATATCTTCAAAAGTGCTTTAAAGTAGTGGCCATTTTTTGAGTGGGAATAGCAGATAAGGGATCAGAAAATTTTTAGGAAATACAAGTCAACAAATTTATTGGTTTTACTGGAATTTAATGCTGTTTTCCGAATTTCGAGGCGGCCCGAGAACAAGCATTACATGCACCGCAAGCTAACAGCTCTTCCGAGATTCCCAGACTGCTATTCTGCTGAAAAAATGCCTTTCGGTGGGGAGGAGGTTTTGCGCATAACATTTTTTCTAACGAAGACAGCGAGTTACAGTTTTCATCCTTGGAATTATCATGTAAAACCACACGAGAATTTCCGCTTCCGATAGGTGTAATGAGGCTAGGTTTTATATGATTTCACCCAGAAACAAAAATTTTTATAGACTTTTCACTAACCTGTGCCACTCTGTCCGCAGACACCAAAGTTATACTGCTTCACCACATCCATATCTAATCTCTCGCGAGCTAAGAGAACCAATTTGTCTTGTGTCAGTGGTTCTGGACCGAGTGAACAGTAGGGAGGAGGACTGTCTGTTATCTCATAGTGAGGAGCTGTTGGCGGATACTGTGGTGGTTTTGAAAAGTATGTTTGCAGTAGGTCAAATACGGTTGATGCTGATTTGAATATGACAACCCCGCCGACCATAGCTGTCCCAATGACTGAACTTGTTGCGACCACTGTTGCAGCTGTTGTGACAGCTTGTGCTGCTGTAGTGACGGCTGATGCAGCTCGTGTAACGGCTGATGTAGCCGTGATTATCCCTACAATTTGAGCTATCACTCGAGCCTTTTCTAATGCAGCGCCCATTCTTTCAAAAATTTGTCTTATAACATTTAGACATTCGTATGAAAATGAGCCTTAGGGACGATTTAATACGGAGCTTACTTTATTCCCGAAATATTTCCTCTTTATGTCCAAATAAATGCAGTTATTGACTTGTCTTTTGATTTCAAAAGTTTTGAAGATACAATGTACCTTCGTAGTTTCGAACTCTTTATTTACCTTCGAAAAAACAAGCAGAATGATATGAAACGCACATTTCGGAATTATAAGATGAAATACGAAAGATAAGACTTTTTTTATTGTTCTGAAGGTGGTGCTGAGAAAACAAAGAATGATTTTAGAGACGTATCAAAGGTGTTCTCATTTTCCGTGTTCATAGAACGATTTGAACTTGAAATACTTGCGACAGAGTTACAGTCTATAGGAGATGAGCGCTGATCCTACTCTCACACATATTGTGGTATATTAGGAATCCGAGTTCGAGACATTCTCTTCAAAACACATTATGAAGAATTTAGAATAATTAATGATTGTTCATCCTGATCATTAAGAGTATTTGATGATGACACCCTGGTTGCTCTAGGGAAATCAGTCTGCAAGTATCGGGTTCCGGTTCGTGTTGATTCGTGCAATTTAATCAGTCGGTTTGGCTAAGTTCGCTAAATTTTATATAAATGTAGAGAAAATCGATGCACATACCTAAGAAGCTTTTCGACGTTTACGGTTGTTGTAAGCCAAGAAAGTTGCCTCCAAGAGTTTTTTCCGACAATTATACGTTGAACTAACATTGTTTATGTGTTCTAAAAACGTCGTTAGAGAGACAAAGAATAACGTTATGGGATAATCTCACGGGGACACTACCACGTTACAGAAAAGACTTACCTGTTCAAATTTCAAAAAACTTTCCTAATTATACTGATGTCTGTCCCTCTTTTCCCTTCATTTAGGACGTATTCAAAGATGACATAATTGCGGTGTGTGATAATCATTCATCATTCTTTTTTTTATCACATACCGCAATTATGTCATCTTTGAATACGTCCTAAATGAAGGGAAAAGGGTGACAGACATCAGTATGATTAGAAAAGTTTTTTAAAGTTTGAACAGATAAGCGCGAGATCTTGTAACTTTACGTAGCAACCAAACTCCATTGAACCATTTCGGGAGATAAAATGTACAGAAGAAAAACTGTTGATTCAAAGTTTAATCTATTTGATACCAGAGACTAGCTTAACCGATCGGTTAAGTGGGCGGTTGGAACTAGATCAGATAGAGCTAGCTCGATCGGTCGGTTAAGTGAGCGGTTAACCTAGCTTATAACCTCCCCAACCGCCAAAAAGTAGGTTGAACCGCCCGATCCTAGGTTAAACTTTTTAAGGTGGATCTAGCTTAACCGGATCGAAAACCGTGTTATCTAGCTTCAACCGCCCGAATCTAGCTCCATTTTTTTTGCTTGGGGAGAATAGTGGTAACTTTCCTCTTTACATGTATCAAACTCGTATAGAAAAAATATGTATCTTGCATAACAAGGATGGGTCACATAAGGTTAACAATCGAAGCACTCCCTTTTGCTAGTAATAACGGTTTCGTATTTAGTAAAAAAGTACTTCTGTTCGATTTCGCGTAACGTCGGATACAGTTAATCCTTCTATAATAGCATCCCAATCGGCACCCTCAAAACAAGATAACATACAGTAAAAGTTATTTTTCTCTGTTTCTTGACTTACATAGCTACCAATACATTATCGAAATAACAAATCAGATAATCAACTTTAATGTTATCAGCAGCAAAAATATAAGCATGCATTCTTTTTTTTCATTTCAGTAAAATTGGTCATAACCGTTCGGTCATTTCACTTATTAAATAAAATAAAATTTCAACAAATATTATCCCTGGCTATAGATACATCTCTGTGTGTTACGGGTTGACGGTGGTGAGCAACTTGTTGAACCTGTGCTCTGTGTCTGCGAAGAGAGGGAAAAGCCGTAGGTAGATGCTCACGTGGAATATGTTGCCGTGCTGCATAATAAGGAGGAAGTACTCTTTTACGTTGTTAAAGGTAGGCTTGATACTTTCTACCACGGTAGTTTGCTTCAGCTGCGTTCAAAGCGGCGGCTTGTTGTCTAAGCTGATGTCTACAGGATGAATCTACATAGAATACGGTTCATCACTAGATCGAGTTTGTTATAGTTTTTCTGGCAGTTTGAAGTACACAAATTGTGCTCTACGCTGAGCTATTTTGTAGAAAAAGGTACATTTTACTTCTTGAGTTCTACGTCTATTAATATCACAGCTGAGCGTAACAAAAATCATAGTTTCTTTTATGTTCAGCAGTTAAATAAACTCTTTTTGACCCTCATGACTTTCCAGTTTTCTCTTCGGGTCATGACATTGACATACTCATTCAAAGGTCTTAATCCTTACCGAAAAATTGAAAGAAAGGTGGCTGGTCAATCTGTCTTAGTTAACTACAGCAGTAAGTAGAATGATGGGTAAGTTCATACGATACCAACCACTTTAACTAAACTCATTGCTGAACTCATTTTGGTTGGTATGTAAAGTTACAAGATCTCACACTTATCCGTTGAAATTTCCGAAAAAACGTTCCTAATCATGCTCATGTCTGCCACTCTTTTCCCTTCATTTAGGATGTATTCAAGGATGACATAACTGCGGTGTGTAATAAAAAAAAGAATGCATGCTTATATTCTTGCCGTTGATAACGTTAAAGTTGATTATCTGATTTGTTATTTTGATAATGCACATGTATGAGGTATATCGTGAGCAGATTTGATGATTGTAAAATCACTGGAAGTTGTATATCATGTTTTTTTAACAGAAAAACTATTCTAAAATGGTGCGCACCAAAATGGCTTTCATCTGTGAGGTTATTCCTTTCAGAATTGTTTTGCATCTAATGGTTAATAGCCAAAGAAGAATGTAACTGTTACACACACTTTATTTCAGTAAATTACCATCTATATATAGTATATTTTAGCTACCGGAAGATCTCTTT